CCCAAACCGAGTCCTCTTGACCAGCCGGTGCAGGACAAACACCCCCTCCTCTCCATTTCCCATCTCTCTGATCTCCAGGCTGTCCGGAAGAGACGACCTGATCCAAGGAAAGAGCAACATGGCATAAACTCCTGATTACTGTCTGTTCAGTATGTAAGCTAAAAGCATGATAAAAGCTCAAAGCGACAACCCTCACGCTTTACTCTCAACTCTGCATCATCACCAATCACGAACCCCAACCTGTTACTGCAGACTCCTCCCAGAAGTTTCTTCCTGTTAAAACAGGGACTCTTACTGCCGCTGTTGCTAAGTGCTTGATCACAGAGGATGATCTGTTATTGTAGGGTCTTTACAATAACAAGGCCAGCCTCCTGCCTTCTTGTGATCCCTTAGTTTCAGCATCACTTGATTCAGTATGCTTACTTTGCTAAAATGCTGAAAAATGATGTGTCCTCCCCTTTTGAGCAATTTTGTGCAATATTATAGACAGAAGCCCCAATGATGCAAAATATCAGAGAATGAGAGAGAGAGAAAACACAAACAAAAAAAGAAACTGCAGGCTGAGGCTCGAGGAAGGCAGCTGTATGCTTGTGAGAAGAAAGCATAGAGTGAGAAATCTATTATGTTTAAAGTTAAAAAGTTCCACATTTAGGATGAAGCTGCAAGTGGCAGAAACGCAACCACCCACAGTGGGATACTTGGACAATCTCTTTGCAAGGTCTAGAACAGCAATAAGGTGACACATGAATGGGGTTTGTAATTTCACAGGTCAGGATGACTGGACGTCAGCGCTAGCAGGGATCGATGTTTCTCCTTCTTTGGTTTTGCTCTGATTGAATCGTTAGAAAGAAACTTGAGTTCAAAGAATGGCCCAAACCCCCACCTGACACCTCCAGCTGTCACTCACCGAGCTCGGCTGAGGACGAAGGAGTCCTGGACAGTCACCACCGGCCCAAGTTCAGGACACTCAGAGTCATGGTACTGGCCACAGTCCTCGCACCCTGTCAGATACACATCACATCTGTCTTCATAGTGCTTTAACACACACACACACACACACACACACACACACACACACACACACACACACACACACATATTACTGAATGATGACAGTAACCAAATGTTCAGTGTGGAGAACTGTGCAGTTTGAAAAACTCTGCAATATGTTGCATTCCACAATCAATATTT